TGTGGCAATTCCGAAAATAAATGGAAACATAGGTAAGCGACTACGCTAAATCTTGTGGCGAGATTTATTTTTGAAAACACTTACAAAAACCTATATTAGGTGAAATAATCCATTTTTGGCTGTATGCGTATAATCGTGGCTTACATGAACTGGCTCATATATATTACCCCAAAATCTTTGAAGAATTATTAGAATCACTGATAAAGATGAACTATGCACTTTTCATTAGAGAACACTGTGCCCTCAAGCTCCTGTTAGCAGAAAGAGGAAACAAATTTTAGAAATCGGTTCATAGGAACGGAAATGAGTGTAAAAATGTAATTGCACGGAAAAGTTACGATTTACTCATATAAATCGTTTCATGTTGTGAAGCCGAATCTTTTGGAGTATAAAGTCAGGTTTTCAGTATTGTTGAACTTACCATTTTGAGAAACTTCTCCTTGTTAAGGAAAATTCCATCTGCAAAACTGTCAGGCACAAACCAACGAAGGAACAGCTTTGAAACTGATTCCATTTGATTCTATACATCAAGATCTATCGATTCATGCATCCTATATTATCTCGCATAATCGTTTTTATTTCAAAGTCATCGGCGCGATTATTGCTATTTATACAAGCAACATAAATTTTTTCAGGTTAACCGTTCTAAAGTGTATGAAAATGGAATTTTTTCTTGACTACTTTCCTGATAATTATGTCAGCAATTTTGAAAAAAAAATTTTTCTTACAAAACGATACAATAGACATACGACTCACTCTTGCTCACTATTCATATCGACATAGGATTTGTGTTTGTCTTTATGAATCAGTCCATTATATTGTTAATCACGTAGCTTATAACTTGGCATATTCTGTCATTTATCCGAACCGAAGAACAAAAATCGAAGGTTAATCAACTTTTCATATTTTTTGGCCTCTACCCTGTCGTTCTTTGATAGATCATACAGAAAAAGAAATTATTTGCATAAATTATATGTAATTTTTGTTATTTGTTTAAACTTCTGGCACCCGTCTATGAGTTGAACAGTAATTTCTTTGCTGTTCTTTTTATATTTTTATAATCCCAACGTTGATCTAGTGAATATAGAGAATTTCTCTCTGTCAAAAAAAAAATACAATTTTTTCTTTTTGTCACTTCCTTCCATTCACAAGGATAATAAAAACATATACCTTTAGCTACTCTGACTACCCATGACTCCAGCAATGATTTTCGACCAAATGACTTCACATTGCGAACTTATTTTTTTTTTATCAGGCACACTTATTAAGAAACTTGAGTCAACGACATGTATTTATAGAGAACAAATTTTAAATAAATATTATTAGTCGCACAACAGTGACACGGTATAAGTCAAATCAGGAACAGTTCTTTCGCTTTTTGAAAGAAGAGAAGAGGAAAACATTTCGAACATTTATTTACATGAAACACATGTTCACTTATTACTTTTAAATTAAATATTTTTTGTGAGTATGCATTATGTTTTTGCATGGTTAATACTATTGGGAACAATCGGCCACTTTGAACTAGCCGAAATGCAAGGTAAGAAAGAATTATGTTATTATCCTTTTCGCAATACGGGTTCATCACAAGCTTTTAGAACGACGATAGATAAATATTTGCGGTTTTCGGTATTCAAAATAGGACACTTGGGAATATCTTTTCATAAACACTGCAACCGAGTCATAGGCGAACAACTTGAAATACAAGTCTACCGAATTTTTTCGTTGGTACGATAGCCAACGAAAAAGGTTTAGTTTTACACACTTGCAGCTTCTTGCGCGTTATTATTCGAAACTCGCTAAACGGGTAAAAATTTTCGTAAACAGACTTTCCTGCGCTTTTCTGGAATGACTATGACTGACTGGGTTCTCTTTAGAAATGTTCAACAAATAATAATCGAAGAAATAATATAGCTAATGGGGCTGTAATTAGTCAATAATTTCTTTTAATTTAACTTTAATTAGAAAATTTCCTGTAACAGCACACGTAGAAAAATCTTATTTTATTCCTTGTCAGATGACGCCAGATTAGGAAGAGAACGAAAAAATTGTCTGCTTGTTTTGTGATTGTGCAGTTCTGATGGTGTACAAATTCTAGTCCCTCGAACCAGCGAAATAAAATGAAATTTCTAAATATATTATTATATAAGGTACTGGATATTCGAAAATTCAACAGATTTTTATTTTTTGCATTTTGTACAGATGTTTGAATAGAGCTCGTCGATGTGTAGAAGAAAATGTTGGTTTAGTTTTTTAAAACAATCTTTTACAGTCGAAAAGTCCAAAATATTCAAGGAAGTTGCAGTTTTGAAAAACCGGTAAAGTCCCGAGAATGTCAAAATTTACATTTTAGGCATTTTTAAAAAAGAATCCAATTGTTTTCGAACTCTGTTGTCTTTACGACAATTTTTAAAATAAATCTGCGTTTAGGAAAATTTCTGAAAATTCTGAGAAGTTTTATAGCACATGCACCGGACTTCCGCATAAAATCGTCGGACTCTCGAAATTACACACGATTTTAAAAAATCGTGTATAACAAAGCACTCAAAATTTTTCAGTTACAACTACTACGACTCATCTGCAATACATTCAAAATGTGAACGAGTATATACGCAATATAAGCTATAGTGCAATATTAAAGTGCGAAATGGCCGTTTCTTCTAAAAATACAAATAATGGCTTTATAAGTAGTTAACACACAACACAAAAAAGCTACCTTTTAGTGCAATAAATGTTGAGAATTTTCAAAAGTGGTTATAAAACCAGAGTGTCACAGGTTTCTATAAATCTTATGCTGTATAGTAAGAAAAATAATTGACTTTAAGGAAGTTTATGGAAAGGAATGGAGTGACCTCGGATGACAACTTTCGAAAGCCATAAGATGGAATGGAAGCACTTCGTCCCATCATCAAATCTTTTGTCCAGTGCGATCCCATGAGCATTTTTGCGTCAGAAACCTTTAATAGAGAATCTTAAGTTTGAAAACAAACCGATTTCCAAATCAGAAATCCTTTTGTACCATGTGACAGCATCAAGTTTCACGAGATTAAAGTATTTTGACTGTTTGTACGAAGCTTAATTTTTCATCATGTGAGAAGCTTTATTAAGGATGTGATGGCGCGTGTTTTACGAGTTTTTGCAAAACTGCTAACGCTTTGACACAGGAGACGTTTCGTTTTGATCCGAAGTGTTTCTTTAGATAGAAAAAGTATTGGAATGTGTCTTGCAGTAACTATTTCAATGAAACAGGATAGTTTTTGAAACTCGACTACGCATGGTTTCTAAAATTTTTTTCGGCAACGGCTAAATAAATAGAATATTGATAAAAGCCAAGGATTCGCGAAGTAGACATATTGGACTATCTAACCATATACTTCCATCTTAATATTGGAGTTTTACAAAAACTTATTGAAGGTGTGGCAATGACGTTAAAAAAAGACAGTGAAAGAAAAAATGCTTCCACTAAAAAACAGGCGTGTTACATAAAGCGAGAGTGTTCCAACAACAAGGTCGCCATCCCAGACGGTTTGACTCAAACCACAATGGTGCCTATGTCAAACAGCAAGAATTGTCGCAACATCGAGGAATTTGTTTCGAAGCCCGACTTTGATGAATCGAGACGTGGTAATGCACTTTTAACACTTTTGTTCGCCTTTTATATTTTAGTTGAGTGTACCCTTGAGTATGTGTATTCAACAGTTCTCGGCGACTGTTACCCTGTCATTGATGTACTGGTAAGTTTTCAAAAATGCTTTAGAAAGCAGTGAGTTAAAATAGAGCCCTTTGAATACACGTTGTTCTCTTTAGAACATTACTTATTCGATTGTTACAAGCGGCGGTGATGTTAATGTCAGCACACTGGCTGATGCACTAGAAGATTATTATCGTTCAATGAGAACAGCATCGTCTCTTTTTTACAACGGTACCATATCATTGTTATCTGTAAACGCTAATATAATGCAAAATATTATCGAAAATGAAATAAACACAAACATATCACGAAATTCAACGGACATTTTTCTTCAATCTGTTGCACCGGTATCATCAAATACGGTGACTAGTGGTGCTGCCTTCTTTTCTTTTATTGGTGGTGCATCAATTACAAACATGTCAGATATTGACAATCAAATTCAAGGTGTATCAGCTGCATACTATTTGACCAATACACAATCGTTGAGTAATGTCATACGATTAAAATCGTTATTGATCGACGAACCCACAAATTACGCTATATACAATACAAACACGTCAATATTGGCGTCGTCAGTGATAATCATTAGCACAGATCCTCCAATAAATACAATCGGCGTGCAACTTTTTCTTACATTTAAATATAACCGCAATATCTACAGTATAATTGATTCAGGAGAAACAGGCTCAATACGTTGCTCTTATTGGGCTGGATCAGCGTGGAGTAGTTCAGGCTGTGGAGGAACTCCAACATTGAGAACCGATATCAGTTCCGAGCTATACGGAATAGTATACGAATGTAACTGCACACATTTGTCAACATTTGCACTTATTTATGTATTATCAAGTAAGAATGTAGTTTTAACACTATCTTACAATGACTGAGATAAATATTTTTTCTGAATAATGTTTTACGAATGCACTAATCATTTTATTATTATTCAGTTAATTGTACAAATGGAACAGTTTACTCAGCACTAGACAAGAATTGTTCAGAATCAAATTACTTGCAAGTACGTACACAAAAGAGCCGAAGTGATGTTATTTCGCCGGCGATAAATTTAAGGAAAAAATTGGAAAAAAAACATTTTAACAAAACAAAGGGGAAAGTCGAAACATCGACGAAAATTAACATGCTCCTTTCATTCGCGTATTCGCTACTGCTCACGGAAGTTTGGTCACAGTATCATGATTCTTTCTCATCCCTGGACGTGTTTTCGAGTATTTTAGAAATCGCTTGCCTCAGAAAAGGTTTCCTTGGCGAGTTCTGAACTTCATCCTAACTGATAGCTAAGGGAGAACGCAGATGAAATTTTGAAGCGTGAAAAGACATCTAGCCGAAGCCCACAGGAGTTTTAAGACATATCTTTTCTTTTTGTGAAATTTTCAAAATCCCTTTTAATCTATAATTCGAACGTGCTAGAGCCAATAGTGGAAATAATCAGAATTTGAGGGAAGTAGCCATAATTGACGAATAAAATACAATATTTATTCTTTACTAGATAAAACATTCGACGTTTTCGCCCTTCTTAAGGATTATTATATATCACTGACATGAGACTAAAGCTAAGCCTTAGGATGCAACGTAGAAAATGAAGAAAGCAAGAGCTTATTTGGGTTCCGATTAAGGATATCCCCTCTTTTTGCACTTGTTCAGTGGGAACCAGTGACCGATTGATCTGAAATTCTCACCATAGACAGATAATCGTGGCGAAAGTCAGAATTCTTCAAGTGATTCTCAATTTTCTTCAACAGAAATCTGATTTTGTGCAATAAAAATTTCATATTTGAAATCAGGATCAAAAACTGAGTCGACTAATGTGTATTTTGGAATTTTCATTTAATTTTCATTTTTTGGCGAAAATCTCAGCAGTTTTTTCCACGTACACATTCGAAAAAAATCAAAATAGTCAAACAGGATAGAAATACACGTTAATCGACTCAGTTTTTGATCCTAATTCCGAATAAGATATTTATATTACATAAAATCCGAGGAGTTTTAATTTTTTGTTGTTTTATTTTGCTAACAGCTCTTACTAGAATAGTTATAATTCATCGAAATAACATTTATGAGAGTCAAGAGACGTCTTACTTCAAACGAAAATGTCTTTCCTAACTAAATAGAATAAATTGCTTCAAGGATAAAATATGACAGTAAAATTCTTAGAATCGCAAAACCTTGCATTTTCCAGTTGAACGTTGCTGATTTTAAAAACCTCCTATTTTTTAAACGAAAGGTGTCGGAAAGCCTGCACTAGTCCCATTTTGTAGATGGCACCTTACTCTATATGAACATAAGTCTAACTCAACATTGAAATTTTTATCAAAAAAGAGCGGACACCGTTAAAAGAACAATCCTTGAACCATTTCCTGATGTAAAAAGAGGACTATATTTTTGAAGATGAAGTTTTTTTCGAAACAGCTAAGTTTTTGAAATAACAAAATAAAAATGAATTTTGATTAACCTAAGAATGCAGTTGTTATTATGCTTCAGAATCGATCAGTATCTATAATTACAAATCCGAATAATGCAACTAGTTCACAAATTGCAGACGCTCTCGTCGATTACTATGCAACGAATTCAACATCTTTTCAAATTAACGCGAACACGTTGGATGCCATTGTAGATTCTATAAACGAGAGTGTTTTTCGAGATACACCAACTATCTATCTTCAGGCAAAAACTCCCGTACTGGGAGATGATTTATGGCTTATCGGAGCAGGATTCTATACAACGGAAGGCGGCCGAGATGTAACAAATATAACACAAATTTTGCCACAAATTTATGGTATATCATCAGCAGCCGTTGTAACAGATACTGACCGTTTAAAAAATGTTTCATTACTCAAATTTTTGTTGATCGATCAGCCTACAAACTACTTACAATATAATACAAATATGGTACAATTAGCATCTTCCGTTATTATCGTCAGCACTGACCCACAAATGCACGATATAGGCATTTCTCTTTATTTTACAATTACATATAACATGACTGTCTTTAATTCAAGCCAAAAATACTCCTTACAATGCACGTTTTGGAATAGAACAGGATGGGCAGTTGGCGATAGAACCGGGTGTCAACAAGCGCCAACACGACGAGATGATATCAGTCCAGGAATGACTGTCTATCAATGCGACTGTACTCATTTTACAACATTTGCACTTATCTGGTTACCGGCTAACGAAATAAGTAGGTAAAAACAATTTTTCAAACTGATTTTCCTTATTGTTGACATGTTTTAGATAATGGTAATGTTGTTTATACGGCATCTGATTACATATCTATTGCGTTCCAATCTTTTTCTATTGTCGCATTTGTATGCATTCTCATTCATGCATCGATAACAAAGATTTGTTGTGCGAATACTCGTATCGTTGCTTCCGATATGTTACCATTAATATCGTGCGGAGCTACTTGTTTATTGTTCATATTCTACCTTGCACTATTATTAACCGTTTATTTGAATCCGACTACGTCAACTATTTGTGACACAAAGTCTTTGACTCTCATGTATATCACTTATTTCTTTATTATTTTCGCATTTTGTTGCAAAACATCAGTAGGCTACTTTAATTATTTACGTTTCGCTCAAGCAACACCACCTCGTTGGAATCGTCTATTCATTTTACTGGGATTATCATTTTTCATTGGCGTCGTAGCTTTGAGTTTTCTGGCAGGATTCAATTCAAACCAAAAATACCAGATTAGCCATTTATATCGACAGCAAATATGCTGGTTTACACCGACTGTTATCTATTGGTACATGACAATACCAATATCCATACTGATTTTAATCAATTTGACTCTAATTGTAGTCATGGCCAGACGACTATTCTTATTTGTCAGAGCTGCTGGAAAAGATAATGATCAACGAAAACATCGTCGAAAACGTGTTGTTGTCGTTCTGATAACAGCCTCCGTTACTCAGAGTCTTGCATGGATATTTGGTAAGTAAAACTGTCCTAAGAACAGCCCACAGAAGACACTAGCCTAAGAATTTGCAGTGACAGCTCAGATCGACGGATCAGAATAAGTAAAGTATTTTTGTAAAAAGTATTTGAAATTTTAATATAAGATTTCAAGTTAGCAAACGTTAACTTCGTATCAGTGCCATCAATACAAGTTTTGAACAACAAACATTTTGTTTTTTAAACGTTGACGTTATGATGGAAGAGTAGCATGAAATACATACGTAAGGGAAGTCGAATTAGATTATCCGAGTCGGACCCAAACTTAATCCGAAGCCTGTGACCTCCCGGAAAGTTTTCTGCACTTGAACAGACCGGAAAAAGAATCGTCGATAGTGTAGAACTGATCAAAAAAATTGTTCAGCTTTTAAAAGAAATCTCACTAAACTCAGCTATTCAGAAGCTTATGAAACAAATCGATAAAAGTAAGTTATTTTTGCGCTCTGGTCGTCATTGTTTATATCCGAGTAACGAACAATTTAAAAACTGTCTTTACAACGGATGTTTAGGGCCCTTTCTGATCATTTCTGCAAGAGCGGCGTTAGCCATCGAATGGATATTCATCGTGTGCAATGGACTTGAAGGCGTATGGGCCATTCTGCTCTATCTGCTTGTGCGACGAACAAGTACAAAAGCACCCGTGAGACGACCAACGATCGACTTGCCATCGGTCGTACGAAGAAAGGTATCGACGACGGTAGCGAATGTTGATGATCAATTTATGGATTTGAAAACGTCTTCACCTATCGAAACGACAAGTTTAAACTTCGGAGAGGAAGTGGTTGATCCGGATGAGAAACCAAGATTAGATTTCGACTCGAAAACTACTGATCAGGTGAGAATGCCACGGGTGGATTTTGATGCGTCTACTCCTTATTTGAAAATCAGTGCAGTTCGACGTTTGACACTTGAAGATCTTTCGCCACCTACATCGACCACTATTCGGCGTTTAACACTCGATAATTTATCGTCAAGAACAAGGACACGCATATATGACGATAACTCGCTGAGATCATCCTTAGTCGACGACGTTTATTTGCTCAATCAAACAAGTGTTTAGGTCACAAATCCAAGAATTTTTTGGATTTGAAGATTTCTCTACTGGAAACTTTTCAGTCAAATCGTTCTTATTTGAAAACAAAACATTTGATGAACAGTTCCTTCGAGCTGTTCTGTACATATGTGTCGAATTTGAGGCTGTCCGTTAAGGATGATCACACGGTCTTTTGACGCTTCTACCCCTTACCTAGAGATGCTCTGTTAGGGCTACAACAAGAAATGAAGAAAAATAAATTCTCTAGTTTTCTCAAGTGGAAAACAAAAAATAAAAATGTACTTGCTCTTTTCCAAACATATTGCTGATACAATTCACTGTTTAGAAACATGAAAACAACAAATCAGGCACACTGGTATTGGAAAAACGTAATTACGACCCGTGAACTAAGGCTGTGAACCAGGCTTTCTGAATCGAGTCGGACTTTGATCCCAGAGTCGACTTATTCAGCTGTTATTCTTGAATATTTCTGGAAACCGCTCGGATTGTTTATGGATTGTTTCAAACAATTGTGTCTGAACAAGTCATACACCAATTCTTGATAAACTCTATTATTGGTACATTCATCATAACATTGATCAATATCAATTTTTCACTGGACAAGCACTGGAACAAGTGCTTGTCAAGTAAAATTGCAAGTACTTGCATTGCTTTTAACGTAATATTATTCAGTGTTTTTTTATTGTTGCTTAATATTCACTTTGTGTACTTAGATTATTCTATATTCGAACTCCAGAAAGAAGATGTTTTCAGTTGATCAGTCAGAATCTGGTTGGATTCTTATTCGAATGAAATGAGAATCTAACAACGAATCGCGTAAGTATTACGCACAGATTTTACACCTGAATTCAACTATTCAACTTCTATATGATTTTGCAGTCATCATCTTACAGTTTATTGAATTAAGAAGAAGCAAAAATTGGTAGAAGGTTTTAAGAAATCCCGATCAGTTCTTCACCAGACAACTGTTTTTCCGGACACTTCTACCTCAGACAGTCCGTTAGCTAGGACACACCCAGATTTTTGTCTGATTATCAGCAAGTGTTAGATCGATAAAACAATCAACTGGGACTGGACACGTGCTGTGTTGGCATAGTTTAGCCATTACTTTTTAAAATGTTTTCTCTGCATAAATTAACTAGGTGATTGATTCTTACTTGCTTTCATGTCTTCTGTCATTTTACGTTGACTTCTAAAAGTTTGACCTATTTAATCAAGTCGTGCAGGAGAATTCAAAGAAGGTAAAGCGTTATATTAAGTCAGAAAAACAGAGAAAAGAGCAGAGGTGTCTGTCGAGGATTTTTCTGGAAAGTTAAATAGTTTGAGGAAAAACAGAAACGTTGAGACGTGTTTTATTTTATCGTAAAAATGAAACTTCTGCAAAACATACCATCTAACCATTGGTTTTTTATTCCGATAAGCTGAAATTTGGATCTTTGTTAAACGAGTGACAGGTTGAAGGTTTGAAATTCTTGGCAAAACAATTTGAAACCCTAACGACATGTAAAGTTGTGAATCACTCAATGAAACGCGTCGGTTCTTATTCATTTCAACATAATGATTCTCTTATAGTTTGATTTTTTTGTGTTGACCGTTTAACCGTCACCTAAAGTGAGAGGTAAAGGTAGAGCTTCGGATCATGATTCCGAATATGATATTTTTATTGCTCAGAAGTTGAGTTCTGATCGAGACAAATTGAGAATTATGGGCAGAATTTCGACTTTCCACCCTGATTTAGAAAAAAACGAATTTTCTCAGGAACGAAAGAAAATTTTAAAAAAGCTTTACATACATTTTTCCTACAAGTATACTGAGTAGAAGGAAGTAACAATTAATGCTTAGTCTGTCGACGAAGAAAACTAGATACCCTCTGACAAATTTGTCAATAGGGAAGCTACTATTCTGCTACTGTTTAGTGAATTTGGCGGTCAGTTTCAACTTTAAACTTTAGAAGTTCAGTTTTTTATACTCACTCAGATTTTGGTGAAGAATCAGAAAAAATTAGTTTTAGAATTTTAGAAAACAATAAGTGTAAAATATTTCTTTATATTTAAAAATTTCACCGTTGCTTATTTTCAAAAAATGGGATATCCTGTCTTCATAAATCCAGTTTCATAAACCACACATTTATGAAACTTGTAAAAGGTTTCATAAAATTTAGGAAACTTGGATGTTGATTTTTTTAACCCACAAGTTACATAAAAATGAAAAATTTTATGAAACTTTTTACAAGTTTCATAAAAAGCTTAGCATGGTTCTCAGAGAAAATTTTTCTTAATTAATCAGCACATGTCTCCAAGAGGCCCATGGGTGTTAATTAAATGGGTTTAATTGATGAATTAAGGTAACTGCAGATGTCTCTAATAGGGTTGTTACAGTAGTATATTAGTATATGTCACAGTGACATATATTGAACAGTAGACAGAAAAAAAGAATAAAGACTACACGACACACTGGATCTCTCTCTGTTGATGATTCATAACCAGCTGGTGCCAAAATAGAACTGTAAATTATTCTATATGTCTCTCAGTAAGTTATTCAAAGAATTCTAAAATGAAAATAGAAGTCAATATCTGTCACTGAGCTCCTTAATATCAACAGAATATGTCTCTGAGCAACGTATAGGTCTCTGAGAGGGTGATTTTTAGTCCTTTTAAAATAAAACATAGAGTTTTTATTCAATTGATTTAGTTAGAACATGTCACTGAGCGATTCATAACTCACCAAGTTACACATATCTCTCCCGTTCAAAATACCGCTTCTTGTACGAGTAAGCATATGTCTCTGAGCGACTCACATCTCACTTAGAGACTTGTATATACGGTTTTAGAATAAAATTCCACATTTTTATTTGAATTAGTCTATGTCTCAAAGTAACTCATACCTATCTTGGTGAGATATTAGTACCTCTATTAGGTGAGTCACTGCGTGTCTTCGAGCCTCATATAGCACCTAGAGACACATTGATACTGTTTTTAATTAAATAAATCATTATTTTCAATTAAAACACCACAAACACACGTCTCTATGTGACATATACCAATTATATAATGTTATATGTCTCTAGGTAACATATTAATACTACAATTAATTAAGAAACTAATCAATTAAACCTGCAACAGCATAAATCACACATTTATGAAAACTGGAAACAAGTTTCATAAAATTTAGCAAACTTGGATGTTGATTTTTTTAACCCACAAATTACATAAAAATGAAAAATTTTATGAAACTTTTTACAAGTTTCATAAAATTTTGATTTATGAAACTGGATTTATGAAGACAGGATAATCCAAAAAACGAGTATTTTTAAATTTTTTCGCCAAAGAATGACTTTCCATGAAATAATTTTGATATCCTAACACAGGTTAGCATGTGTTAAAAAAATTCGAGAAACTTGCGTTAGAACGGGTTAAATTTTCAAATATGACGCGTGCTAACGTTTCTTCGGAGCGGTAACGAGACAGATCCGGTTAAATCTGGTTCTAAGAAATTTGACGAGTTTCATTTGACCCTGTGTTCCAGATGTAATGGAGAAGTCTTTTTATTTTCATCTGAGCGTATAAATGCAAGACATTCGTCCTTATCATGAAACGATTTTAAACAATTTACATGATTTTGATCAATTTACTTGATTTTAGTAAAGCATATGACAATGTGTGGATCAAAGCACTCTTATACAAGTTAGAAAAAAAAGGAATTAGGGGAAACTTGTTAAAGTGGTTCCAAAGTTATCTTACTGGAAGATCGATTGTAACTATCGTTAGTGGGAAGAGCTCTAAGTCAAGAAATATAAATCGCGGTGTCCTTCAAGGGTCTATTTTGGGTTCTATCTTGTTTTTAGTCTACATTGACGATTTCGGCTCAGATATGGGGTGTATCACCAGAAAGTTTGCTGATGATACAACAATGTCTCATTGCGATCACGACCCGACGAAAGTAATAGTTGATATGAACAATGATCTAAAAAAAGCTTATGATTGGTCAGTGAAATGGCAACTACCTCTAAATATTGGCAAATGCTTCTGTATGCTATTCTCAAGAAAATCCTCTAATCTGCCTGTTGCCCCTGTTTCTATTGGTACAACACAAC